GTTTTATGTAACGATACTGAACTACACTTAAGCGTTTACGTATATACATATATTGTTAATTCTTTCTTTCGAGAATCTTCTACGACTTTGGACAATAGGCAGGAGTTTTGCAATACATATTTAACACTATATGCTATGCATGTTTTAAATATAAACGTAATCTAAACAAACGTTGATATTAAAATAGTTATATAATAACAAATTCGTTACATGATAAACATTGCTATAGAGAAAGACGACTTTATCAGAGATTTATCAAATATAATGTGCATGTATCCTACTTTGAAGAATTTAAAAACAAAAAAAATCAGTAAAATAACTGTGATAACAATGAAAAGTTCTTGACAAAATATTTCAATTGTTGTTTCTTATGCAAAAATACAGTTTTTCACATTTTATAAATTCATCTTGTCTACTGTTTATCATTACGGAATATACTTTACAATCAAAATAAGCTGTTATGTTCACTATACTTTAACTCTGACAAAGAAGAACGGATTTTGTATGTCACTGAACTTAACAGTCAGTGAAACAAAATTATCTATTCATGCACTTTACATAACAATACAGAAAGCTAAATGTTCATTCTTGAAATTCTCAGTACTTTCTGCTTTTAAGTTACTACTTTCTTTTTTTCGATCTAGAACTCGCATATTTGTCGTTTAAAATTACCATTGTTTAGAAATATAACTTACCAAGATTTATACATAGTCTAACTTCTTCAAAGTGTAATTATTTAGACATAATAGTTTTAGTTTTTATATCTTAAACCTCAACGAAGTTGTTCATTGTAGTAATAGATATAAGTTAAAGTCATAGCATATTATCACACAGTTCTCCTTAAGCTACAGTTACATATTTTCTTACACTAAATAATAAACTAGACTCTATAGATAAATCTAATCACTTTGGCGAATAGTTTTTATGTGAATTTATAGGAATACTCTTTATAAACTGCCATCCATTCATAGAAAGTGCTATCACACTCTCCGATATTTGGGTACTTTATAAATAAAATTTTTGTCCTAAAAATTTAACAATTTTTACAGTTCTACAAGAGCATTTAAAAAAAGTGATATAAAAAGTCTGATTGTTAGTAGCTTAATATTACTTAATAGCAATAGGGTGAGATTATGAGACTTTTTCTTATAGATAAGGCTTGGTAGTTAGGGCGCTTGACTCACAGGTTCAAATGCCCTTCACTGAACCAGATCACCCTTTCAGCCATGAGAATATTATAATGGTAAGGTCAATCCAACTATTCATTGGTAAAAGTGTAGCCCAATAGTTGGCGGTGGGTAGCTTTATGCAAAATCCAAAACAAAAAAGGAAAATACTCATAGGTAAAAATATAAAGACAAAATATATATATATACCTAAATTTTTTCTTGTGTTATAACTGTAAGTTGAAGAACTTGCAATGGTCAAATCCGGTGTTCGATTCTCCGCAGTGGACACTGCAGATAGCCCAGTATGGCTTTCCTCTAACAACCAGCCGATCACTCAATACATACCCAATAACAATACTTAATTAAAACGTAAAAAATGATTGCTGCCAATTATCTTTCTATAACCACAATATTTCTAAACAAAATATTTGTAACTCCCATAAAACTGTTCATAGTTGATAAATGTTCAGTTTCATTGATCTTTTAAACAACTTAAATCTTAAACTAAGAAAGTTCTAATTACAGGTCAAACTTAACATAATTTTCAAACAGTTCATTAGATTAAAAAATCATCCCCCTATGGGACAGCGGTAAGCTTACGGATTTACAACGCAAAAATCCGGGTTTGAATCCCCAAGGTGGACACAGCAGATAGCACAGTATGTCTTTGCTCTAAAGTAAAACAAAAAATTTAAAGAATTTCTTCTAAACAAAGGGTTGTCCATGAATAAACGTTTTCCCGTTCGAACCCACAAGCAAAAGGGAGTAAAACTTAGATCAGGTATCATCCTTTTAAGTCCACCCAATTCTATGATTCGAAACCAAAGATACGAAATTGGACATCTAATAACTCAGTCTGGATTCACTAGTATGTCACACAAAAGTTAAGTTTACAGATTTATAACGCCAAAAGCTGTTATTAAATTTATCAGGGTAGACAAAGTGCAGTGTAACGAATTTATTATTTTTAATATGAACATTGTTTGAATTGAATTTATAGTTAGAAATATGCATGAGTTGTAGTATCAGATATGTGTTGCATATCACGAATTTCTTATACATTTATTTTAATGTCAACGTTTGTTTCGAATAAGTTTATATTTCAGGGCATGTATAGCTTACCGTGTTAGTTACGTATGGCGAAACTCCCGCCAATTCTCCAAGATTGTAGAATATTTGGGAACACAGGAATCAACAATATAGCCACTTTCGTAACTGGTGAAATACAGTTCCGAAGTTTCGAGAAAATGTGTCCTACCTATAAAAACAGCAGGGCAACGCACCAAAAAAAACCAGCTAATATACAAGTCTGCTAGGAAACTGTTATAACCGTGTGTATGCGATAAGCCGTGATTTTGCTAACCCTTACCAACCGGAAAATATATGACATTAGGCCAGGAACAGCTATAAATTTCGAACGTTCGTGAATTCCAATCAAATGTTAGTATCTTTCCAAAAATATTGCTAGTTTCTCATCGGACATTAGTGGTTTTATGAAAATATTATCTTACTTCAACGGTCCAACAATTCAATGCCTGACAAAGCTAGCTAGCTCCCCGATAATTCTACGTACATCAACTTCAAGTTAACTCACAAGATGTCAAGGAGACGCTTTTAGGTTATTTGTAAGTTGATGAAATTTCTGTTTATTGAAACTTTGTTTGTAAATAACTAATCGTAATACTTATATATATATATAAGGCCCGGCATGGCCAGGTGGTTAGGCCGCTCGACTCGCAATCTGAGGGTCGCGGGTTCGAATCTCCGTCACACCAAACATGCTTGCCCTTTCAGCCGTGGGGGCGTTATATGTGACGGTCAATCCCACTATTCGTTGGTAAAAGAGTAGCCCAAAAGTTGGCGGTGGGTGGTGATGGCTAGCTGCCTTCCCTCTAGTCTTACACTGCTAAATTAGGGACGGCTAGCGCAGATAGCCCTCGTGTAGCTTTGCGCAAATTTCAAAACAAACAAACAAACAAATATATATATATATATATATATTAAAACGTATTTGTGTCAAAACAAAAATAGTGTGAATCAATCTTGTTGGCAAATAGCGTAAATTAAATAAAATATCGGCATACTTCTAAACACTAAATCCAGGGTACAGTTCAACTATTAAACGTTAAATTATTTAATGCAGCTTTGGATTATTTGAAATTCTCAATACGTAACAGCAGATTGTATAGAATGTGTTGTTAAATATTTATTTTAACATGAACATTGTTTATATTAAGTTTGTATTTAAAAACATGCATAGCTTGTAGTATTAATATGTATTGTGAAATTCCCGCTTATTCTCCAAAGTTGTAGAAGATTCTCGAGAGTAAGAATCAACAATATATCTATATACATAAACGTTTAAATATAGCTCAGTATTGTTATGTAATCTGAATTTTCTAGAAAACCTTCCCACGCCTATAAATACAACCAGCGCGAAGCGCCTAAAAGAGAGTGTCTATTAGTGGTTTGCTATAATCAGTGGGCTATAAGCTTCGAAAGCTATAACTGTGATTTTTATAACGCCTATCAATCAGAAAACTTAATATATTTGACCAGGAACATTTATAAATTTCGAACATTACAAATCGTTTAACTTCAGTGGATTCTCATTGGACATTAGTATTTTTACGGAAACATTACCTAACTTGAACGGACCAACAATTTAGTGTGTGTGGCGAAGGACAAAGCTAGGTAGCTAGTTTCCCGGCGAATCGTACTTACACCAACTCGTAATTAACTCGCTCATCGTAAACCCTCGATCAAGGGAGTTCCAAACTAGAAATAAGATTTTGTATTGTTTGTGAGTTTGTGAAACTTTTGTTTATAAATCATTGTTTGTTGTTACCATTGTAAGAATTGTTATTGTAAATTGTATCGTTGTGTGTATATTAAAATGTATTTGGGTTAAAAACGAAGACTGTGTGTATCAACCTTGTTGGCAAATATCGTAAATTGACTAATATATCGGCATATATTTAAATACTAAATCCAGAGTACAATTTAACTACTAAATTTAAATTATCAGTTAACTTGGCTTCGGACTATTCGAAATTCTAATAAGTAACACAGATAAATTATTATTTTCTTTGCGCTAAAACAAAACAAACAAATCCACTATTATTTGTAATGGTAATTCCGTCCTTGAACTGTTAATCAAGGAAATACTATCTATATAGCAAATACCTCTTGTTTTAAATGTTAAACTGTTTTAAAGTAACGTTTTCGATAAATTGTATTTGAATAAATAACCTTATATATAGAACGTTTATTTGAAAAATTACGTTTTTAATGTCATTTCTTCTCATCCATTGACACTTTTTCTAAATAGTAAATAATTTTCATTTTATTAGAAGTTTCAGTTTTTACAGTAAGGGAGAGTATTTTTGAAAGAAGTTCAACGTTTCGATCACTGTTTTAGTACTAAAACCTTTTTTACCGTTAAACTTATCTTCTTGGGAATGATCGCACCAGCAAAATCAAAACAAAACTAGTAAATAATTTTGTTTGTTAATTTTATTGTTGTTCATGCTTTACGAAGTCGGAATACTGTTGTGATCTCGTATTTTCAACTGCGCCTAATTTTCGTTATTTTCTTGTGGTTGATGATGATTTAAGTAAATAGTTAAAATGTTACACGGTCATATTTATATATCTGTAGATATTTATATCCAATAAACATAAGTTGGAAACAATATGATACAATGTTTTTGTAATTACTGTAGTTGAGGTTTGTAGTCTGGGTTCAAACTTAACGACCAACAATAAAAATTATACTTTCTGTTACGCGTTACACATTCTCGAGAAAGTAATAATGCATGTGAGATTAATATGGAACGTCGAAAATTACAATTTGAACTACCTGTCTTCAACAGTAATTTAAGTGTTAATGATATCCGTAATTTCGTGTTGAACTTTAGGCTAAAATCAGAAATGGATGTCATAATTTTGATTTTTTGGATAAGCCTTCAGTCGTTTTTATATGTTGAATCACTATTTCCTAAAATTGATTATTATGAACCTGTTGAATTGATCAGTTCAAATGCAGACTTAATTAACAATGTTTTAGTACCAAATCAAAGAGTTAAAACTGAAAGTTCATCATTATTTATAAGTGATAGCAATAGTGACAATATATATGTTATTTTCCGAGCGTTTCAGAAAACATTTGACATTCGCCTTTTCCCAGACACTTCTGTTATTTCTCCTACAACTAAAATTACCGTCTATGGTGGTTCAGAAGGATCATTGAATGGTACTTCATACGATGTTTCTAAAGATGTCTTATATTCGGGACATTTAAAAGACATGCCAGATTCTACAGTTTACGGCTATTTTACAAAAGGTGTTTTTGTTGGTACAATCCGTGGTGACAACATAACATACTATACAGATGTAGCTGACGACAAATATTTTACCGTCAATGGAAGCTACAAATCTTTTATGTATAGGGCTTCAGATTTTACACTTTGCGACTCCAAATCGCCTAATATTTGTAAAGAAATAGACCACTATAAGGAAGGACCACGTGTAGCAGACAGGTCGTCGCGATCACAAGGAATGAATCAAACTGTGTAAGCATAATCGAATTACATATATTAAACAAAATACAAGGGTGTAGGCAGAAATTTAGTATAATCTAGTATACGAGTGGCTAAGCCTTACTGGGGAGTCCAGGGGCACGCCCCTTCAAAAGTAATTTGCAATTTCAACAAATATAGTGCATTTTGATGGCATCTGAGGTTATTTTAACACCTTTTAAATATTTTTTTTACATATATGGGCACAATTTAATGGATAACATCACCTTCATCCGCCTACGCGCTTATAATACAGAGTGATAAAATTAAAGCGAAAGAAGTTTTTATTTGTCCCGATGACACACTTTTAAGCTATGGGTGCATTATGAAAGTGATGGCGAAATCTCACTTTACAATTAGATTATATAAATAGATGGCATACAAAAGCATTGAAATACCTCTTTTCATCAACATTTGTCACACGAAGGCGAAAATCTTGAATTCTTACAAAATATATTCAGTAGGCAGGAGGTGGAACTACAGATACGTAACCCAAAACTACCGTTGTGGTCACAATTTTTTTTAACTACTAATACATTATATTGCTTTGGGGTCCATAACGCTGTTGGTTACATAAAACCTATTATTAGTATTAATATAAGAAGCACATAAAATGAAAATAAAAAATATTACTAGTAGTAGTAGAATTAATGTAATCTGTGGAATCGCTTATTTTCTGCCTATTTGATATCGAAAATGAGCGATTTCATTCTGATGTTTACATTAAATGTTGTATTTTTTGGTACATAAGATTACTAAATATGATGCAATATATAGTACTGTTGCGTCAGCGAGATCACGTGACTATTGTCACGCCACCTGCTTTCTAGAACTATCCCGTTCCTTCGGGAGTGCTCTAGCATTTACTAGATTGGGGGATGGTCTGGTATGTATAAGATGGTCACGACGTGACAGTGTGTGTGTAGGTAGT